GAACCGTAGAATTCTTTGACCGTCTGAAGAGCAGAGGAAAGAATAGGATGAGAAAACTCTTTGAAATGAGCACTAACAATGCACGAAATAAAACAATTATTTATTAACAGCTTATAAACTAGGGTTGTAAAGGGGCGGAATATTTCAAAAAGGGAAGTTTATTTGTAACGAGCAAGCTATTAACATGTGAGATGTAGCGTGATGAAGTATGCCAATTGCAGAGTTTAGAAAATATATATCTCAATTAATTCTTCATTGTAAAACATCTCTTTATAAGTCAGTTGTTCACTTACACTAATATTTGTACACATCATTCAAACACATTAAGCCATCAAATTGATATGTATCTGGTAACTTACTGCAAATAAAATAAATACACATATTAAGAAAGTATAAAATGACAGATCATACTGTGTTCTGAGCATATTCTTTGGCACCAGGAGCTTTTCCGTAGTCACAGAATTCCGTAGTGCAATGGAGGGTTCCTTTGGCCTGAAAGTATTGTTCCAAATCCACCTCCTTCTCAGCTTTCCCAGTGACTGTAAACACAAGACGATATTGGTTGCATTTTAGTCATGCCAAACATATTAAAGACGTAATAGTTTGCAATAAATTAACACAACATAAGATACACTCACAGTCACTCAAGTGTTTCTTGAAGGCCTCCAATGTGTCCAGCGTTTTCAGGAAGTCCATTGATGTGCATCGGACCTTGTCCTGGACGGAGGGGAGAAGAAACCAGCCAAAGAAGAGAGGAAGGGACATTTCCTCTAGTGGACCCCTCATGGTTTCCAGTTGGGCCTCCTCCAGTCCACGCCTGGTCTTCTTAGTTAGCTGAGCTGGATCTCGGCTCCATTCAGTAAGTGGCTCCAAAAAGACAGTAACAAGGTGGTGTTGCTCGGCAAGTTCACCCATGCGAGCCAGCCGATCCTGGGTGTGGTTGGTGTCGTCCACCACTATCAGCACAGAGGAGGTGGTTCCTGCAGTGCAGCAGGCCACCACAGCCTCATCCAGAGCCTTGTACCCATCCACAGAGGATTCTGGATTCTCTGGCTTTATACCATGGTCATCAGCAGTGATAAGAGTGCAGTGGTCTTCGTAGGCATCTGCTATGGCACGCGCCAGGAAGCTTTTACCACTTCCGGGAAGGCCTCTGAGGACGACAAGTGTACGAGAGGTTCGCATGGAGTCTTTGGTTTTCTGTTGTTCCAGGAGGGCAAAGGACAGGGAGCCAGATGCAGGGACTGCATCCTCTTCCTTCTGAACCTCAGCATCGTTCTTCTCAGATGTTTCAGCTGCTGCTCCTTTCAGAGTATCAGACTCCACTGATTTATCTGGTTCAACTTCCTTCTCGGCCTCTGAAGGTTTCACAGATGCAACTTCAGCTGATGCCTCGTCTTTCAATGGAACCACTTCTGTTTGCTTTTCTGAGGAAACCTCTGCTTCCAACACAGTCTCAGCTGATTTTTCTTCTTCCACAACCTTTGTAGGCTCTGCTGCCTCAGCGAATGTCACAGCTTCTGTTGGCTTCTCTGAGGCAACCTCTGCCACCAACACAGTCTCCGCCACTTTTTCTCCTGCCACCAACACAGTCTCTGCCACTTCCTTTGTAGGCTCAATTAGGACATCTTTTTCCACAACCCTCTCTTCTGGAACTTCTTCTTCCCCACTAGTTAATGTCATCTGCAATTCTGTCTCAGTTTCCTCCTCTTTGCTAGGAGACTGCTTATCTACTCCCGGCAGCAGCGCAGTTGGTTCAGGCAATGTTTGCTCTTGTGGAACTGATTCTGCCAATTTCTCTGACTCTGGTTTTGGGGCACTCTCGGCCAGAGGTGTTTGCACTGGCACAGGTTCTGGGTCATTCTCTGGCAAGAGCTGGATGTTTTCTGGTTCTGCGTGTAGAGCTGCATGTGGGTCAGAGATCTTTTCAGATGACTCATCTAGTTCAGCCACCAAACTAGCCTCAGACTCCATTTCAGATTTTTCTGTGGGCAAGTTGTCCCCCATTTTAGTTTTTTCCTCAGACAGCACGACATTTTCTGTCACAATCAACTCTTCTGTTTCTGTCAAGTTTATGACTTCTTTATCATGGCCATTCACCGCCAGCTGCTCGGTCTCGTCCTCAACAGCTGGGGGGTTCTCAGGCTCTGAGAATTCTTCTGGAGTCTCCAACTTTGACACAATCCCTTTTTCCATGTCAGTGTCCTCTTGCTGTGGACTTTCTGATGCGTTTAAAACCTCAACACTCTTTCCAGTGTCCATGTCTAGCCTACAGTCGGACTTAACACAGAACCATGTACCTTAAATATAAAATTAGAGAAGAGAGAAATTATATATTTAGATCAATTTGGAAACAATTTTTAAATAGATTCAAGCTTCAGAAACGTTGGCCCTGTGGTACAGCATAATTCTAAATTAAAGCTGACTGAAATTAGTTTAACTGAAATAAAAAAAAGGGAATATGCTTTTATACTTTCACTTCCGACTGCATTTTGTACCCTAGAGGCCAAAATCAAATAGTTTTATAAGGACTGTGGTTTTTATGTCTCAAACAGGAAGTTACCCAATATCAATGATTTGAGAAAGAGACAGGAATTAAAAGGAGGTGGATTTTTTTAATAATATAATAAACGTTTTAGACATTTTCAATGGGCAAGACGTGGACACATTTGGGTTCAGTAGAGGCGTTATACCCTTGGGCATACAGTAGGAGTGGTGGGCAACATTTAGGCACCACAGCTCAATCAAATAATAATTAAAATGGCTTAAAAACACAAAGATAGTGTTATAGACACAGAAGCATGCCTGCAAAAACACTATACCTTACCATTGCTAAATTACCTCCGCAATAACCTTTACAGTAAATAGACAAAGGGCACTTACAAAACGGGATAATGCTGAAAAATGATGACTTCATTGTATTGTGTACCGTGTGCCAAGTTATTTTACATTTTAGTGAAATATTTGGAAATAAAGGCAGGATTAAACATAGGCCTACGTGTGAAACCACATTGTGTCATGAGACAGAAGGGGAAGCTCTCACAGCAACCCAATGTGTCAACAAAGACAAACATTTAACAGTATTTTTCCAGTTAGGGTATACACAAAAAGCGAAAGTAAACTGAAGTAAAAGGGAAAATAAGGACCCTTTCACATGTATTAAACGTTATCTCTTTCGATATGAAAAGAAGGGTACAGTATCAGTAAATGTCGCATCGAGGCATTATGGTAGCAAGTTTAGATTAAATACAAAATATAATTAAGAATATTGCTTTAGGAAATAAGTTTCGAAGACGGGGTCCAAGTGAACTCAAATATTGTTTTGATTTGTTTTACACAGAGAAAACCCAAATCCTTGCATTTTTACGAACTGGCTGCACAATGTGGCCAGGCGGGGAGTGGCGTGCACCTAGCTCGCTAGACAAAAACAATTTAGCCTGGCAGTCAGTAATGCTGGCTATATCATCACCAGCTACAGCGCCACGTCCTAACATCATGTCTTTCTGGCGTTTACAAATCACTGTATGTTATCGGAGCAACTTTTTGCAGGCTGTCTATGCAATTATTAAGTAACTATTATATGAAGGACGAGCAGTAGCACTCTGTATGAAAGGCTTTTGTTTGCTGAAATGCCAGCTTACCGGTAAGGCTGCAGTGGAGCTGTCGGTGGCCGCTGACCACGCGTTTCTCTCAGGATACAATGACAAGGCAAACCCTGGCACACACATGCACCCGCTTCGCTCTTCAAGAGGAAAACGGAAATTCCCGGTAACGCGCAACTGGGCGTGGTCACGGGCACGCCCCTGAGGACCGGAAGGACGCCACTGGAGAAGATTTAAAATATGAAAAAAGAAATAATAATATGAAGTGTAACAAATCCTTTACTTTTGTTGTTGTTATCAGTTCTCGTATTTTGTGTGTGCCTGTAAGCTAATACAACCATATGCAAAAAAAATATTGATACAGCTTTGTAGTATTTCTCCAAATTCATTTAACTATTTTCATTTACATATATTTAAAATCTTTTTTGTATAGTTTGAAAATGCATAAATAATATGAAGTGTAAAAAAATCCTTTAGTTTTGTTGTTGTTATCAGTTCTCTCGTATTTTGTGTGTGCCTTACGTAGTCTGTAAGCTAATAAAACAATATGCAAAAGATATATTGACACAGCTATGTAACACATAAATGAAGTGACAAAGTTCACATGAAAAATGGTTGTGGAAATGTTTACTTAGGGCTACTTGCACAATTTTCAGGCTCAGAACTATATCTTAATAAATACAAAATTAAATTGACGTTACCAAACCCTTTGAAATTAAACTGTTAACCACTTTGTTTCACATTCGTAAAAAAGAATATATAGGAAAAGTAAGCTATTATCAAAAGCAGGAAATGACCATTAATTGCTATTTTACTGTCTCAGAACCATACATGAACAATACACATATACTGAGTATAAGTGTAAGCACTGCAGGAAGCAGTCATCTGTATGCTAATAGCTCCGTGCTTAGACAGCTGCAGAGGTGACAACAAGAGGAAGTTCCCTGCAGCAAGTAGGGCTCTGTATGGGGAACTTATAAGTTATCAAGAGCAAACAAGGTTTATGGATGGCAGGTAACGGTGTGCATGTAAAAACGTGTGATAAGATCCCTCTGTATTTTGTATATGGCGATAACTGAAAATAAGGATGTAGGCCAGATATTGAGCTTCACAACACTTCTCCATATACATATCTTTTACTTCAGAGAACAGTATGCACAAGCACTACTCTATGGCATTGTGAGCTCAATGTTAGCTGAAATAAGTGATAGAATTACAGTACAACCCTGAGATCCAGGATCTGGTTAACGTGTGTGACCTTTAAGAAGTTATTACATAAATCAAACTGGGTCTTGCTTATAAATGATTGTGTCTTAAAACAGTTCTATTGAAAAATGTGTTTCCAAGGCGACCATCAAAATGCATTCATGCATTTTAAGAAGTACAAATTATAATATCTCAGTTGCCAATTTCCTTTTATTGGTATATTTTTATTCTACAATTTTCCATTTTATTATATGTGTTTTCTGTATGCCTTCTGCTCAATTAACACTCAAGCACCACATATCTTGCGATGGTCATCCTCACTGTGGAAGGTGTTGCTTGGCTTCATCAAGGGCCTGAAAACAGAATGACAAATGTCAGCAATACAAATATTTCCTTAAATGGAATTACAAAATATGGCGAAGACAAGCATAGACAAAAAAGAGGAAACCTTCTGAATGACATTCATGGCAGAGTCATCTTCTTGCAATCTGGCCTGGGTCAAAGCTCTCTCAAAGTGAAAGACACCAGATCCAACGTTTCCAAGTTTCACTGAGAGAAACAGAAGGGAATTGATTTATCAGATGGATCATTGATTGACAACAGCCCCCTGACACTAATTACATATACATTGAAATATTGAGTAATAAGATAACATGTCACAGTTTCCCAAATTATAAATATTGGACAATGTCGAATAGTATTAAATAAAAAACAGATAATTACATTCTGCTTGTGCCACCAAAACATGGCCATTCATCTGCCATTTCTCATCAGCAATTTCATCGGCAGCAGCCACTGAGCGGACGCCATAGGCTCGGGCTTCTTCGTGGCGATTGAGCTCCAGGTAACACCTGCCGATCTCATGAAACAACCAGGTCTTTTCCAAACCACCACAGACCAAGGGAACCTTAATCTCCCAGCTGAATTTGAAACAGACACATACAATAAAATGAAACTAATGTTCATCAAAAGATACAATAATCGATATACTAATCTTCAGTCATGCATGTTGAGAGGTGTGATTACAAGATAACGGTAAAAAAACATGCTTTGCAAAGGACAGCTGCAGTTTAGCTTACAACTCGATGGCTTGTGCGAACTGTCCAATTTGGGCGTAAACCCGCCCAATGTTGTCCAGAGCCCTGGACATTGCATCTGGGAGTTTGCTGTTGACACAAAAACATTATTACATATGTGATGTTTTGCTGTCAAATATATTCACTTATGTTGTGTCCAACTGTACACTCTCACCACTGCTTAGCCAACTCCAAGTCTTTTTGATGATGCTCCAAAGCTTTGTCCATGTCTCCCAGGTCGATCAAGGCATTCCCAATACAACTGTGCAGGCTGCCAATAACCTCTTTCTTATTAGGCACCTCTTTCTCGGACCAGCCCTGCACTACCTTCATGACTTCTTCTGCCTTCATCAGGCTACCTTCTGCATTTCCTGATGTCAACTCTACGACAACCAACATACAGAAAGCCATTTTTTGCAGACTTAAAAAAACACCAAGGGTGACAAAATCAGCCAGAAGCCTGCCTTACCTGCATCAATGCCATCCAGGCTCTTCAGAAGAAACTGAACAGTCTCAGAGGGTGCGCTGTGCCCTTTAGTGCAATTGTTTTGCTTGACCTTGCGCTCCTTTTTGTGTGCACCAATAGGTCTCTCCTGGTTCCAAAACTCAGTGCAAGAGTCAAGGTATGTGAGGCAGCCCTGAATGACGTCCTGAAGTCGCTCCCCACTTTTTGTCTTGCCTTTTACCAGATCTGCAGATCATTGTGCAACACTTTTAGATATTAGTCTTAAAGAAGTGAAAATAAACAATTGAATTTTGGTCATTTTCAATATCTGTGCTGCCAGCAAATGAAATACGCACAGAAACAAAATCACAGCAGTAAGCAAATCCCCCAGTACCTTCATCTTTGAGCAGGGTTTCTAGATACTTCTTATCACTGTAAAACTCTCCAAGCAGTTGTTTGGTTGTCTTCTCACTTTTGGGCGTCTTCTTTGTCTGCAGTTTTTTCTCCGTGGTCAGATTCAGAATAGCAGCTATTGGTTGGGCCCTCTTTACCCATTATGAAAGAAAACAGTATTGTGCATCAGGGTTGAACTTTGCATACCAATACATGTTCAGTCTGGGAAATGTGGACACGTATACTTACAGCCACTCTACCTTCACCTTTCCTGTTAAATACTGGGTTATACAAAGGGGAATACAAAAAAGACTTACCTCCTCATCTTTTTGTAAAAATGATAGGTCCCCTTTTATCTCCAGTTTTACAGAGAAAGAGCCTAGAAGATGCCAGATAAGAACGAATGTTTTTAGGTGTGAGGAGGATTGTTTGAAGATGTGTTTTGTTTGAGGTTATTTTGTAACTAGTTTTGTGTTATTTTCAAATTACTTACTTGCAACAGAGTTTTCTATGGCCTCCTGTGCTTTCTGGATACCCAGTCTGAACTCCTGTATTTGTGGACGTAGCTTTTGTCCTCTGTGGTAAAACACCAGCCCAAATTCAAATTCCCCCATGTAGTACAAGGCCTCTGCTTTCTGGTACAATCCCTAAAAAAAGTCAGAGTAAAATAAAGATTAGATTCACTTTTCATAACTGATTTCATATTTACACTGGGTGTAGGGTTGTTGGCTCTCTGTAAATATAAGACAACTTTAACAGGCATTACAATTTCTGTCACCTAGGTTACCTCAAAAAAGGACTTGTCTTCTTTGAGTGAAGCCTCTGCATCCTTCAAAGCGTTTTCAGATTGCCCCATCTTCAGGTAACATTTGGATCGGCCAACGTAGCATGTCTTATCATTAGGCTTTAATGTCAGTGCCTAGAACAATACAAACAAATAGTCATTACATAATGCTCTCAGGAAAAAATAAGTGTATTTCCATATGCATGACATTACTCTGTTAACTGTTACAATTATTCAATAAATAAACGAAAGGCGTGTTTATACCTACAGTATGTTTCCTATACATTGCTGCTTTTGTCAGGACAATGAAACATAACAATTCAATGAGAACATATGGTTTGGACAAACTCCAATCAGATCACATGGTGCCTTCTCACATAATCTAATCTACAATAAGAAATAACAGGAGCCCATTGGTTTATCAGAATCAGAATACTTTTATTAGTCCCACAGAGGAGAAATTGTTACAGCAGAAAAGAGCCAAAGACAGCTTAATGTTACCTAAGAAGCATGCAGAAAGCACTTGTCTTGCCATAGTTGTAGAGTGGGTTGCAGTGGTTTGAGTCGGATATAGAAGGATATGCCTTTCTTTTCCATTGCTCCATTGGGTTGCTCCCAACACACATATTTGCTTTGTGTACAGGTTACAGAAACACTTACCTTGTATATCAAAACAATATTTATATTGTTGGTCAATGGTGCTTTGTATATATACCCCTTTTCCACCACACAAACGTGTGTACCTTAAAGCAGGGGTTCCCAACCTTTATTGTGCCAAGGACCGGCAGATACATTAAAACAAAATCGCGGACCGGTTGTCAATTTTAACAGATTTTAATATTTACTCACCAGCAGGTAGCATTAGCAACAGAGGCTAATTGTATGTAACAGCCTGAACAAATAGGCTACTAGAACAATATGCATCCAAAACATATTAGAACCGTTGTCGTTTTTTGGTTTTTCGGAAAAACGGAAAACCAAAAAACCGACGTTATTCAGTTTTTAAACCAAAACGGGAAAACAGATAAATCAACGTTTTGGTTTTGTTTGTATGTCATGTCCGGGACTCTCACGGTATCTGCGGGCAGGCAGCAGATACCGTGAGAGTCCCGGACATGAATTCATAGATCAAGGCAGACTGGTATACTCTCCTGTTTTGCCAATCCGGTGCTTAAACAAAGGCAAGGCAAGTTTATTTATAGCACTTTTCAACACAAGGCAATTCAAAGTGCTTTACAAAAAAATGAAAGACATTAAGAAAATGTCATTTAAAATCAGTCATTAAAAAGAAAAGCTAATAACATAAACATATAGCTCTACACCCCTGGCCGACATGTCCTTTGAAGTCCGAGTTTGAAATATATCTCAAATAATGTATGCACTGTCATTTCCCCACATAAACATAACAGTCTGCAATTAAACGGTTGTCTCCTGTGCCCTCCTCTTCCTACTTGGCGCACCGGTAACTTTCTCGTGCGCACAAGAGGCTGAGACCAGGGCTGCTTCTCAGGTAGATTAAATGAAATCCTTGGAGGGACGCAAGGAAACCACGAGAAGCAGGGAAATGAGTTTTAAGAGCAATGGGACGTCCTTTCCTCCGGAGCGTCACGTGAAGCGACGTCCGTTTGTGATGACGCTGCACAGCTGATCGTCTGACAGCAGCTCTGTCCCCGTTATTTCCACACACCCCCCCGCCTCTGTTAGTACACATTTACTGACACAAACATTTGTATCATCTGTTGTAGACCCCAATAAATAAAATAAAATAAGAACTAATTCTCAAAAAAGATAAACGCCATTATTAACATTTATAAACGAACAATAGTTTGATTAATATTGATTAGAGTGCACAATAGAAATAAAATAATTGAGAGAAGAAAAAGAGATATGTTATCTATCAAAACCCAGTTAGATTAACATTCATTGGATTGCACACTTTGTTTGTTTGTTTGGATATGTAGTAAATTAACATTTCAATAGCATTTAATGACTGACTGAATGGAAATGACAATAAATGAAAATGTAAAACGAAAAAAGCGATCATGAAAATGTTTCCAAAAAATGAATTAAATGATTTTTGACCACTTTGTTGTTCAGATATATCACATATTTGTAACTAAATGATACATGAATTGAAACAAAACACGGTATAAACTGAGGAGTGACTCCCGTGAGGTTCATGTATGTTTCTTCACTCTGCTCTCATGTCAAGAAGCATCAGATCAGTGCATGCACTGCCTCGTCCAATCAGTGAGCGATACACAGTAAGGGGGCGGGGTGAGTATCTGAGGATTTCATCGGAGGATGGTCTGGTGGTTCCTCGGTTATCACTCCTCCATTATCGCTCCTCGCTCCTCCGGCAGAAATAAGAGCCATGGGACGGTACTCAAGATGGCGCAGGCAAATCAACTTCCGGTGAGACCGAGGAGCGAGGAAATGAAAATAGTCGACCTGAGAAGCAGCCCAGGCTGAGCCGCCAAATCCCTCGGAACATCATAAAAGACATTTTCAACGGTTATCTGGTGAAAGATTAACTAGGCTACTGGATGAAATAATATAGGTAGCCTATAGGTGCGAACATTAAACACTTTTTGAAAAAAATATTATGATAAAATATTTTTATATATTTATAATTCTGCAAATATTACGATAAACTCACAGCTATTTCGCGGCCCGGCAGTACCTCCGCGGACCGGGGGAACCCCTGCATTAAAGCACTTATATTTCTTACCCTTGTTATATCTGAATGACTGTGTTGTTCTTTTCTATTTTCTGTGTAATGTTGTTGAGTACTTTCAAAGTCTATTTTGAACACTTGGCCTTAAAACGTATATTAAATGTGCATTGACATCCTTAACGTATTTTAATTTGAAAATGTTCTGTAGTTATCACCATACCATGATAAACTTGAGTGTTGTTGTAGGCTACTCACCCTGCATAGGTAGCTAACGTTACTTAGCTAGTAACTAACGTTACTTACCGTTGTATAGCTTTGTATCGCCTTTTTGTACTCCCCTTTAGTGTACATCCAATCTCCATCAGCCATTAAAGTAGAGAATACGCCTTTTGGTTTTTGTCCATCTTGATCTAGGCCTGCGTCTGACATTTTTAGGCAAACTGTTGTGTAAAAACTCCTGCAGACATTAACTTTAGCGTGTGTTTAACTCATAAGCGTTTCCGGTCAACTGGTATCCTAGCAACAACAATAACAAACCGAGAGTGGGAAACAGTGCCATCTTCTTCACGACCTACGTATTACACATACATCTTTATGACATGTAAACAATTCTATTTTTAACAACTTTGTTGTTAATAATCTCTTCAAATACTAATAATACTAACAATGTTCTAGGCGCAAATATTCAATATTTATAGATTAACTCAAGTTTTAATTGTTATGCAACTCAAAGAAAGAAAAACAGTTTAGAGGAAACCCAGAGGAGGCCAACTTTATTGACTTGGCTGGTACTTTTTTTAAGGATAAAGAGGATGGTTTCACCATAAGGGCAACAACAATGAGTAAAGATGAGGTCGCTTTTCTTTTCTTCATTAAGTGCACCAATAGAACAACAACACTCATCAGGAAGTAACTGAACGTTACCAGGAATACACCATTGCACACTGCCTGACTTTCTTAGACAATAGCAAACACATAGGTTATTTTCTTATGGTCATATGTTGAATTGAGTAACATTTGATAACTTGCTTCACAGTCAATGAACACATGGAGTATAATCTCAGCATAATATGATGTGTAGGCCAAGCAAAAACAATTACCTTCCTGAATTTGTGTCAAAGGGTTGATCATAAACTCTTACAAACCTTTCAGAGAAAAGTGTCCTCATCTTACACCAATGGTTCTGTTAGACAGCAAATTTACAATAAATATACAAATCAAAAAAATCACAAATAAACACTTTCCATTCCAGTAAAATGTACAATTCAGCAATCTGTGAATGGCAACATCAAACATAAAACTTGTGGCAACGAAGGGAGGGGGCCACCGCTGTCTTTGTTGCCATCTCTCTAATGTACTTCAGCTGTATTGCGAGTGGAGCTCGAGACACCAGCTGTGAATTTAAAACTAAACGCTGAAGAGCTTCTATTGGCTTATGACAAGAAGGCAGTTTTTAGTGCAAATTTATAGCAGCCAACTGTCTGCCTCTACAGAGACAGTCTAAGTGATTTGCTTCAGAAATCATTAAACAACTTATTACTTTCATGCAGAGTGCCGCCTCAGCAGTAAGGTGAGCTGGATAAAAGCTGGCTTAGTTGCATCTCCAAAGTTTCCTAAAGATGTCACTTCCTGTATGCATCCCTAAAAGCTCTGATATGATAGCTGCACAATCTCTGCTATCAGCAAGTATTTGGACCATTGTTGGCAGCCATTGCTATCTTTAAAGTGTGTTTCATTCTGAAAAGAATAAAAAACTATTTAAAAGCAGTAATGCTATCAACTCATCCTGTGCACTTGGTCTCGTTGCAATACATGCAAGTACATCGCTTGTTGCATGTGGTCATTGGGTTGCATTCATTCAGTCAATGGCATAGACAGGGAATTGACTTGCAATTAGCCAGTCATTAAATACGCATGGTGGGTTGGGGTTGATATTGTTGAAAAGTCCTGATGTAGTAACTCTTTAGGTAGACAAATCCTCCTCCGATTAACCAAACTGGAAGAAGAAATTTCCCGGACCAGATGCTGAAAGATAAAACAGATAAGTCAATATCTGATATCAAATTTAAATGGTTAAAAGATTAAAAAACTCAACTCACATTTCTGACTTTCGAAACTAAAACCTCCTGGGCCTCCAAAGAATGCCTTGAAAATGTTGTTGGCATCAAAGTCTGCTGGAGACAAAAAGGAATAATTAACATAATCGCAGAGAACTTTCACGCCGTATTCTCACCATGGAGACTGCTTTTTAATAATAATAAAAAGGCGGTTTATTAGCTCAGACGTTCCCTTTATTCTGTTCACCCTTCCACACCCCAAGAATCGCCCAGAACTGACCTCCCATGTTCATGCTGTCATCCTCCAGATCCTGACCACTGTCATAGCGTGTCTTCTTCTTTTGGTCTGACAACACGCTGAAGGCCTCGCCCACCTCCTTGAACTTCTTCTCCTCTTCCTTCTGCAACTCAGGACTAGCTCCGCTGTGACGGTCTGATGGGAAGGAGAAGTGAAATAAACATATAGACCGAGCAGTATACGCTGAATTGCACAATGATTGCTTTGTTTTTACAGGAACTTTTCTGTTCAGTTAAGCACCTGGGTGATGTAAAAGTGCCCGTTTGCGGTATGCTTTCTTGATTTCCTCCTCTGTGGCGTTCTTATTCACTCCAAGCACTTTGTAGTAATCTTTCCGCTTGCTTTTCTTCAACTCCAGTTGGGCCTGTTTCAGGAAGTGCTTATGTTCTAGAGGATAACATAAAAAGACAGGACATGTTAAAAAAACAATAAGCAGAAAGAGGAGATATTTGTAATCAAATCAAATCAAATCAAGTTTTATTTATATAGCACATTTATAAACGATTTTTGGTCGAGCCAAAGTGCTGTACATATAATAAAATTAGCCTACAGTAGAGACACTTCAGTAATGCTGAAACTGAGTCAGCTGTCAAAAAAGAGGGGTTGGATTCTCACCTTTTGTCTTCTCTGTCTGGTAAACCTTCTCATAATCTCGCACTGCCTCTTCATACTGCTCTGTGTCCATGAAGCTGCAGCACAGAGAGCACACATGTGAAATTGTTTCTCAGTCCAGTTTGAACAATACAATAGGAGAAGTGCAGATAATGATAATGTCCTCTGTTTGAAGAGAAAGTACGACAAAACATAATCTCTCTATTAACAACCAAGTTAGAAAAACTGGGACATACCACTGTGCTCTCCGTAAATAGGCCTTGATGTAGGTCTCATCCAGTTTAATGGCCTTTGTGCAGTCTTCAATGGCCTGTTCTAGTTTATTTAGCTTTAAAGAAAAAGAGGGATGTGTGATAATGCAAGAGAGGGGCAGAGAGAGAAATAATGATGGCCTACAATTCTCTTCATGTGACAGAAGAACGTATAATATGGCGACAATAACAATGCGTGTGCTTACATATGAATAACTATATTAGGGTGTGAATATGTGTGTTATACACAAAGTATAACTTGTTTACTTAAATATCAATTATTGCCTGATCAAACTTCTATTATCAAGACTAATTCATTGGATGCAGTTCTGTACTTTTTGTAAGGTTGATAATGTTTCTTTGCTTACCTTTATCCATATTCCTCTCGTCAGTCTCATATGCAATATTTACAAATCTAATGACTCATTTGCAATTACAAGTATCCTAGCTACAATACCCCCTTAGCAACACATGTGTTTGCAGTGGCGTTAGGCAAATAGACACAGAGTATGATAAGATGACCTGTACAGTTGTTGGACACACAAAACACCTCGTCAGATGTAAATGAGTAGCATCTCTCCTGTGCATGTTCCTCACCTTCGATCCAACGGTGGCCCTGTTACAGAACAGCTTGGCATTAGTCTTGATGTTGTTGGGATCTATTGTGAGGGCCTGAGTGTAAAGCTCACAGGCTGCCTCAAAGTTCCCCTCCTTGAACGCCTTGTTCCCCTCCTCCTTCTTGGCTTTTAGTGCTTTTGCATTCTGGAAAGAGAAGACATAGGACAACCTTAAACGCTACTCTGGGCCACAGTAACTTCAATTTCAATAGGACTTAATTAGATGAGAGGGAATTCACAATTTATTTGTAATATGTTTGATTAATAATACTTACTCTGCATGCGAGCCGAGCCTTGTCGTGGTCAGGTGCCATGCGCAGGGCTTGAACAAAGAACTGGACAGCCTTTTCAATGCAGTCCTCATAGTACAGACAGAGGCCTCGCACGTACAGAGCATCAGCGTTAGTGGAGTCCATTCGGAGTATATCACTAAACAGGAACAAAAAAACATTATTTATGGTGAAAAAAAAGCACAAATACAAAAATGACACCAAAGGAGAAATAACATTTTGTGTCATCATATTTAAAGGGTGAGTTCACATCTGAAAACAGCATTTAAATGTCTAATATATGCTCCCCCGCAGCGATGAGACTTTTAGCAACTGATAGTAAAATGTCATCCATAATGGGAGCAGGGCCCAAGCGAAAACTGTTCATTTGTACCTTTTAATTGTGAGAATGACTGCTTTACCTGGCCACAGATTGAGCTTCAGGGTAGCGTCCCAGCAGTGCTAAGCACTCTGCCTTCAGTATCTTAAACCTGTGACAGGCTGCAGCTGACTCCAAGGCACGGTCCATGCAAAAAACAACCTGGACACAATCACATATTGTGTTACTGGTGACATACACAACTGGGATCATTAGATTGTAATTAATGTGTAGCTTACCATCCTGAAGTCTCTCTTCTCAAATCCAATCTCTGCCATTCTCTCATATTCAAGGATGGACTCTGCATTCTTGACCTGTAAGGAATTTGTGGTAGTCAGATAAAGAATTCAAAGACCTGCAGTAGATGTATTGCTAAACAGCTACCAATGGCCTCTCTTCTGTGTCTAAAACTGTCCTCATGGTTGTCTCATTGAGCATTAACACCATCTCTAGTATATCTCGTCTTAAGCTGCCAAGTATCAGCCTGTTTCCACTTTATTTGCACTAGCTTGGCCAAAGCTCGTCTGAGAGTGGAAAATCATGTCCAAGTTGTCAGTTCACGCTCTGTCAAACTGAGTCAGTCTCACCTCCTGCTGAGCCGGGCCGTTGTCAGGCTCCAGCTCCAGAACTCTCTGGAAACAGCGTCTGGCAGCCATTGCATTGCCGAGCGTCAGGTGGCACTTGCCCTCTCGCAGGTGGCCCTGTGGGTAAAAGATTTACAGTTTACAAACTAAGCTGATAACTTTACTCAGTTCCCTGGTTCAAAGAAGTAATATTAAACCATGACTAGCTTTATCTTAAACCTTTGTAATGTAACACATTGTTATTGTCAGTTTTGGAAAAGAGCAGAAAATAACCTCTTTGGCCAACATAGGTATATGATAATGACAAATGTTGTTCAGCAAGAGAATCACTGGAAGAAAAAAGCTTATGTTGGGCTATAAACAAACCACAGGAGCAGGTTTCCAACGTGATGACCCCTAACGTCCCTGACAACCTCTGTAGACACATTAAGTAATTTGTTAGCAACAACCCTTTTAAGACAAGTTTAAAATTATTTTTAAAATTATTTTAAAAATCTTGAAATGGTAAAATCTCTAAAGCATATCTTAACCACATACTTTAATTCAGGCATGCAGTATTACATAGGGGTGTGGTTTTTATAACAAATGTATTTAGGAGCCACATCGCACAATAAACAACAATTTAAAGATGAAAAGAATCTTTACACAAAATATTACTGCTATTTCAAAAAGCGGTGATGTCCCTTTTCTATGCATTGTCTACAGCATTTAGGACAAATGTTAGAAATCTCTTAGCAAGAAATGAGTAAAGATGCTGAGTAACAGTGTTTGTAAGCAAAACAAAAATGACACTTGAAAATAATTTCTTTTTGCAAGCCGAGTCATTTTTCCTTTAATATAATGTAACCCACCTTCATGAAGTCGTCATCTAGTCGTACTGCTTGCTGGGAATCCTCTAAAGCCTCTCTGTACCGACACAACATCATTAGCGTGGCTGCCCGGTTTCCATAGTAACTTGCATTCTTTGGACACATGTCTGTATAACAAACAAGTTATTGACATCCTATCAAGGACAGACAGAATTCAAACTTTTATTTCTTATTGAAACAGGAAAATCAGAATAACCCCATCGACTAACAGGAAGAAAGTCCCACATTGTTTGAATTACCTATGGCCTTGGTGTAATAATTGAATGCTTCTGCGTAATCCTTCTTGATATAAAAGGCATTGCCTTGCTCCTTGAAGACCTCTGCATCCCTGTGTTAAAGTGGACAGAAAGACAGCAACTAAAGCAATTAAAAGAAACCTGTTTGGAACATTGGAAAGAAAAAACTAAATGTAGATTTTAAAGTGATCTGGCCCTAAAAGAGATAATGATGTTATAGAATCTCTCTAATGTCAGCGATTGAAGGCAGACAAGACAGATCCCAAACCAGTATAGGCTCAGTGACCAGAAATATTTAAAAAGGAAGACACAAAAAATCCTGGCAACCAAAAGAGTACAATTGAATATGTAGTTTCTGTTTGACAGGAGATTCTAAGACAGAAATGTACTTCATTGTACATTGGCAAACGATTGATAAAATAAGGACCGGCTTTACTTTAACAAGGTACACTTTAAGACAGCTTCATGGCCTTAACATTTTTTAATTACTCCCATGAGAAAGTGACATGTGACATGTCTTGCTGACAATATTTATAGTGTACATAATTGATATCTCTATGTTGTGTTAATCAACACATCACTGATCACTGTCATTTGTGTAGTGTCCACATGGACATAATATCCTTAATATCTTGATGCTTTGGCAACATTGTTCTTCAACTTTCCATGGCAAAAAAGCTCCTTGAATTCAAAAGTGTAGTCATCACCTTAATAAGCATGTGTAAAGAGAGCATATCCAGGATTGTGACTGACAGTGTGCATTGGAGAGCTTGCTGGAAAGTTAGCTAAACATAGAAAGAGCCTAACAAGCAGGCAGGGCACAAATTACTACACGTAGTCTATTTTGTGAAGCTGACAAGGAGCAAAGCCAGCAACATCTGACACCATGCTGTGGGCCACCGCCGTTACTTTTTTTGGAAGTCTTGTCATGTTTTACATCACGACCACACAGTGAGAGGAGCGGTCATTGACTAGTTATTCTGGAAGTTTCCTACTGGTAATACTGCAAAAGAGTGCAATAGTTCAATATTGGTGAACCTTGAGACAAATGCATGGATAGGACAATGTGCCTGGCTGTAAAGCAGAAATCTAGCACAGGAGCTAGCTAAAAGAGGAGGACAGCCAAGCTAAACGAGACCCCGCATTCAGCGGTACAGCGCTAGTTAGCTTACATAGTGCGAAATGCGAAGATAATTAATGCTGGAAGGGCATCTTATCACACATGTCAGTAAGACGCTTCGATAAATGTGTTTTTCTGCTTCTGACAACACGGCTACAATTTGTATTACCTTTCTAATTCTTCGTCACTCAGGAGATCCATATCAGGGTCCATGTTCACTTCATCACAGCTCTCCTTCGCCATTTTGCCGTCAATGGGGAGGGGCGGGGCCACTTACTGCAGTCGTTACGTACAGTGTAAACAGGAAGTAGCCCGTTAGGAAAGAAGAGCAGTTTGCTTGTAAGTAAAACATAAAACCAATGTGTATACATATCTCCTTGCATGTAGCCAACACCCGTGTGTATGTATTTTTGATGACACGACATTGATTCGGGTTAGTCAGTTTCACGTTACATTACCTTGGTATATAAAATACTGTTCCTGGATTTCACCGAAAGCTAATGCTATGCTAATGTTTCAGTTCATACACTGTAAACACGTCAGCATACTCAGCTAGCTAGCGTTACTGTAATACTATTAGCTTGACTAATGTTATATTTGGTCATCTTGATCTGCTCTTAGTCAGTAGATGATTATAACACCATCATATGTTAGCAATGTTGCTACCTAATTCAGAAAATCAGACAAGCAGTCAGTGCCTCTGCATCAGGAACAGCAAATGTGTTGTCCCTATCTCCACTTAACATCAATTCAGACATCATGACACAATTCCATCAGATTAATGATAAAAACCTAGAGGACATTATACAACTTCTGAAGTCCTCCTCTTGCGGCCTTGATATTATTCCAACAGGATTTTTCAAAGATGTTTTGCCTTGCATGGCCTCAGATCTACTTCATATAGTAAACAAATCTCTTCACTCATGTATTTTTCCACAGGCCCTGAAAACTGCAGTCATTAAACCGCTCTTAAAAAAGAATAATCTAGATGCTTCAGTAATGAACAATTACTGGCCCATATCAAACCTGCCATTTCTAGGTAAAATCATTGAAAAAGTTGTTTTTCAATAGTTGAGTAATTTCTTGAATTTAAATAACTGTTTCGATGTGTTCCAGTCAGGCTTTCGTCCAAACCACAGCACTGAGACTGCTCTTGTAAAGGTCTTTAATGACATCCACTTAAACACAGACAGTGGCAGAACTTCAGTGTTAGTATTATTAGATCTCAGTGCTGCGTTTGACACTGTTGACCACAACATATTACTAGACCGACTGGAAAACTGGGTGGGACTTTCGGAAACAGTTCTAAATTGGTTTGAATCCTACTTAAAGGACAGAAACAACTTTGTTTCTATAGGTATACACATCTGAGTTGACAAATATGACATGTGGGGTACCTCAAGGCTCCATCTTGGGGCCTCTTCTCTTTAACATCTACATGCTACCACTGGCTCAGATAATGAAGAACAACAAAATAAGTTACCATCGCTATGCAGATGACACACAAATGTACGTAACAATTTCACCAGGAGACTATGCTCCAATTCAAACACTGAGTAAGTGCATTGAACAAATCAATGACTGGATGTGTCAGAACTTTCTCCAATTAAACAAAGATAAAACTGAGGTAATGGTTTTTGGAGCCAAGGCAGAACGTATAAAAGTTAGCGCTGAGCTTCAGTCTGCAATGTTCAAAACAACAGATAAAGCCAGAAATCTAGGTGTAGTCATGGACTCTGACCTGAGTTTCAACAGTCACATTAAAACAGTTACTAAATCAGCCTACTATCACCTAAAGAACATATCTAGGATTAAAAGACTAATGTCACAGCAGGATTTGGAAAAACTTGTCCATGCTTTTATCTTCAGTAGACTCGACTACTGCAATGGTGTCTTCACAGGTCTCACTAAAAAATCTATTAGGAAGCTGCAGCTGATTCAGAACGCCGCTGCTCGAGTCCTCACTAACACTAAGAAAGTGGATCACATCACTCCTGTTCTGAAGTCTTTACACTGGCTTCCTGTGTGTCAAAGAATAGATTTCAAAATACTGCTGCTGGTTTATAAAGCACTGAATGGTTTAGGCCCAAAATACATTTCTGACCTCCTGCTAAATTATGAACCATCCAGATCTCTCAGGTCTTCAGGGACTGGTCAGCTTTCTGTCCCCAGAGTCAGAACTAAACATAGTAAAGCAGCGTTCAGTTATTATGCTCCAAATATCTGGAACAAACTCCCAGAAACCTGCAGGTCCGCTACAACTCTGACTACTTTTAAATCCAGGCTGAAGACTTTTCTTTTTGTCGCTGCTTTTAATTGAACTATTCACATCTTAAACTGCACTGTAACTTTTATCCATGTATTTTTTCTTTTAATGTTTCTTTTATTAGCTTTTCTTTTTAATGACTGCTTTTAAATGCCATTTTCTTAATGTCTTTCATTTTTTGTAAAGCACTTTGAATTGCCTTGTGTTGAAAAGTGCTATATAAATAAACTTGCCTTGCCTTGCCTTACCCAAAACGCATGCTTTTTGTATGCACTAACACCGTAACGCTTATAAAGTATGTTGACAGTTTTCCTCCTGTGTGTCTTCTCCGAAACACAGATATTCCGACCTGAGAGTAAGCCATGGGAAAAAGCTGCAAGGTGGTTGTTTGTGGCCAGGCTGCAGTGGGTAAAACGGCTGTACTGGAACAACTGCTGTATGCCAACCATGTTGCAGGTATTCCTATTGAATGATAAGAATGTACTTTTGATGTATTCGTTCAAACGAACCCTATTGACACGCCTCTGATGCACTATATTGATAGCAATTCGTATTCCTCCTATACTGGTACTTTTAGGGTTAAGTTATCCAACATGCATTTAGTAATCATTAGGGAACAGACATTAAACAAGCATATATTATTTGAATTGCAGTACAAAGTCATGAAGCGTAATCCAGAGAGCATATTCATTTTTTGCACGTAGATATCTTCAAAGTTTCAGAAATTCAGCACCAGCCCTAAAAAACGTACATTATTTTTTGGAGATGTTAGATCTTTTTTATTGTTACTACTGCAACACCAATGATATGCTTTCAGTTTCTAAAGTTCTCTTTGGGAAAAAACTAATTTGCTAAAATTATTAACATGATCTGCCAAATTAGATTTCTGTTTACTTTATATTTGTTTGCATGTTTTGAAAATGGATTATTTCTGATTGGCACACACTTTACCATCACTGACATGATTGTTGCCAAATTAGAATCCTGTTTACTAAAAATGACTAAGTAAGTAACCCCATCCCCCAGTTACTCTTCTGCGTAATGTCGAACAGATTACCTGCATATGTTTTATATGTAATGCTATTTGTTTTAAATAAGAACGTTTAAAAGTGCTCACTTATGTTTTAATTATGTCTTACTTTTCTCGCAGTATTACACCATGTTTACCTGTATTTGTTATGCATGCTTAGGTTCAGAGCCCATGGAGACCCTGGAGGACATCTACATCGGCTCTATAGAAACTGATCGTGGCACAAGAGAGCAGGTGCGATTCTATGACACCCGCGGACTCAGGGATGGGATGGAGTTTCCTCGACATTACTACACTTTTGCAGATGGCTTTGTACTGGTCTACAGCATTGACAGTAAAGAGTCCTTTAAGCGGATGGAGGCCCTCAAGAAGGACATTGACCGTCACAGAGACAAGAAAGAGGTAAAGACTGAACACAGTTGAATGTTATTTACTCCTGATTCTCTTAAAGTCCCAATAGATAACCTGCCATAGCTGTTTTCATGCTAGTATTGAGACGAAATGCACTGATGTCGACAGTAGATTACATTGACATGGGACTAACCTGTTGACCCTGATCCACAGGTGACCATTGTTGTGCTGGGTAACAAGCTGGACAAGCAGGATGAGAGGAGAGTGGACTCTAACATGGTTCAGAACTGGGCAAAAAATGAGAAGGTGCGTCTGTGGGAGGTGTCGGTGGTGGAACGCCGAACCCTGATCGAACCCTTCGTCTACCTGGCCAGCAAAATGACCCAGCCTCAGAGCAAGTCCACTTTCCCACTCAGTCGCAATAAGAACAAGGGCAGTGGTTCCACAGACAGCTGAGTTATCAGACACTGTTGTCACGTTAAAGAGAAGGGAACAAGGAAGAAGAAATAGGTTAAAGGGATCTTAGCTTGGCTGAAAAACTATTTTGATAATATGAAGGATAATTAGATTAGGAGACTGAGATGACAAAAAGGCAGGGTGATTGTATAAATATTTATATAGAGTGAGCACTGTTGGTATCTTGGTGAAACACTTTTATCATAAATTTGAAAAAACCGCTGATCTTTTATCAGCTAAGAATTTTATGAAAGCAAATTGCTTTTGTTTTTCAACCCTCTTTTACTTGGTATATGGTCAAACTATTCATCCACATTCTTTACAATAACAGCTGTTGACATCAGGATTCATGTTTTGGACCCACACTATTTAGTTCCTAAACTACTGACAATCAACATGTAATTTATACTTAACCAGTCAAGCTCAGAGAATCATGGTGCCCACTGTATAGATACCGTATGATCGAGCACACATGTACACTGGCTACTACACAGATGTAATCAAAAAGGCAGCAGTTATCTAATGTTACCTACTTATTGAATCACACAAATGCTGAATTTCACATGTTGTAAATGATTTAAAGGTGATTGATTATTGATACATGATTGATGTACAGTAACTGTGCTGTTTGTTGATCTGGAGATTTGTTACACTATATTTGTTATTTGCTGAAATTCACTGTTGGATGCAGTTGATTGAATGTTTGACATTCCTCACCACATATTGCCTTCTCTACAGGCTTTAGAAATGTAAATATCATGATAAACATTGTTTGAATGAAAGGTGGTTTCTGCAGGCTCAGGTGCTATTTATTTTTCTGTTTGTGACACATGAAAGACATAGCCAATCTACACTGAACAAAAATATAAACGCAACACTTTTGTGTTGTTTTGAGATGAACTCAAAGATCTAAAACATTTTCTATATACACAAAATAACCATTTCTCTCAAATATTGTTCACAAATCTGAAAAAAATCTGTGATAGTGAGCACTTCTCCTTTGCCGAGATAATCCATCCCACCTCACAGGTGTGGCATATCAAGATGCTGATTAGACAGCATGATTATTGCACAGGTGTGCCTTAAACTGGCCACAATAAAAGGCCACTCTGAAACGTGCATTTTTGCTTTATTGGGGGGGTTTGGGGGGGTCCGAAAACCAGTCAGTATCTGGTGTGAGGGTTAGGGTTAGGGTAATGTTGTGAATCGAGTGGCCTGTGTTCGTCGTCCATAACATACGCCTGCCCATACCATAACCCCACCACCACCATGGGCCACTCGATTCACAACATTACCCTAACCCTCACACCAGATACTGACTGGTTTTCGGACCCCCCCAGACCCCCCCAATAAAGCAAAAATGCAGTTTCAGAGTGGCCTTTTATTGTGGCCAGCCTAAGGCACACCTGTGCAATAATCATGCTGTCTAATCAGCATCTTGATATGCCACACCTGTGAGGTGGGATGGATTATCTCGGCAAAGGAGAAGTGCTCACTATCACAGATTTTTTTCAGATTTGTGAACAATATTTGAAATGGTTATTTTGTGTATATAGAAAATGTTTTAGATCTTTGAGTTCATCTCATGAAAAATGGGAGCAAAAACAAAAGTGTTGCATTTATATTTTTGTTCAGTGTATATAGTAAAACGTCCTAGCATAAATAACATGACTCATCATATAATCCGTCAGTTACTGCTAGTATATGTTTATCTAAGGTGTAGAATACAACTCCTATTCATTAGTAGACCATAGAACTGTTAGTTCGGGTGCTACATGAGTCAAAGAATGAGCGGCTTTTATTGTTTGTATGACTAAAAAGAGGAAATGTGTTAACGTAGTATTTGTTTCATGTGTTTGTGTCATTAACACTATGTATCAAACTTGCAACTTTTTTTGTGATTCAAGCTTTTGTGTGTGTTCACTTGATATTTGTTTGCATGCTTTTGTAAACAATATAAAAAAAATTTTCTGTGCTGAACCAGAATCTGTGGTTGTATTTAGACACAGCACGACTGTTTTATTACAAAAGCCCTTTCGTCAGAGTTGTGACATTAAAATGTGGTTATTAGTAGTATTTTTTTTTTTTATGTTCCGCTGAAACGACTTATCGTCTCAAGTTAAGTGAGAGTAAAACTCATATCCACAAATAAATCCAATCCCAGTCAATTACTTTTAGTATAGTTAATTAGGTCCCGAACAACAACAGTCAGAGTGGAGGGCCTATCCATCAGGTATTTCTTATTATTTTTCCTAAAAGTAAATTGCTATTTTGAAGGCCTTAACATTTATAGATTTTAGATCTGGTAAAAAAAACGTGATTTATATATCACATTTTGTACCAGATCTAAAATCTGTCCCATTCATTGGTGCTTGCAGCTTTAATTTATGTTGTAGTATTTTTCATAGCCAGTAGATGTCTCTGATATTCCAGTAAAACAATTTATATCTACTCAGAAGGGCTTATCAATGATCTTTTAAAGGTAATAAATATCCATGCGATGGATTCATTGTAGGATCTCTGCATTATACTGTATCTAATCTGCAGTTACAACAATCTTTAATTTATGCCTTGATTTTACAATTTAGTTGCATCAAATGTCAGTAATATGTGTTTGTCGTCCTCACAACACTAGACAACATTGTTTGTATAGAGTGGTGGTGTACAGTCATTCATTAACATGTTAATAAATCAATGATAGTACAGATGTATTTCATGTATCAAATATTCATGTTAAAATTTTGCAATGCACTAAAGTGAATAAGGTACACATTGAACATTTTCTGTATCATGAATTAGTTTGGCATTCTATATCCATCTGACCAATGTTGTTGTTGCTGCCTTTGCTTTGTTCAAACCAGTTTGTGAGTGGCAGGAAAACACTGAAGGTCAGACGATGTCAACGATTTTCAGGCAAAGGAAATGCTCTTCTAGTTCCACACGGGCATATCGACTGGATAGGTTAATGCAAGATAATGAGAAAACCTCAAGTGGAACATTTATGAAATGATGGTACACTCACCTGAGTTTCCCCCGAGGGTGTTATCATTTACCATCTCATTTCAATCATGTTATTTTTAATGACTAGACTAGAGCCAGTGCGCAGCAGTTACTTCACTCAACAGGCTTTAGTTATTGTACCACACATTTGGACTATGTCAGTACACACTTGTGGTCATTTTATGTCCCCAAGTTCTAACAGCAAGGAAGAGAAGTTGTCAATACGTTTCAAAGCCTTTCTGTGTAAGGACTTAACATATGTACTGACCCACATAAAGAGAAAAAGATCCACAACACAAAACATGGAACCCTGCGAGTGTGCCAGAGCGGGGATCGATTTGTCACATGCCTGTGTGATTTATGAACCTTCTTCTTCCTTCAGACTACACTAACCACAAAAGAGAAAAGCACACTTGCTTGCCTCAGTCGCAGCAACGCAACAAGGCGATGCCCTTACCAGTAATACCCTTTTACTGTTGCATGACTGTGTGTCTTATGACAGCTGAGTATCCTGCTCCCCCAGGGGAAATAGATAACATTTGATCCCTCACTTGTTTCAGTTTCTTTTTAGAAGATAAACTAGACTTAATCTTCCATTGACCCTTGTTTCACTGTCCCCATCACGACGAGGCACCAGATTAACAAAACAATTCCACACAGGAGTGAACACATACGGTCTAAATGGCAGTGCCACCTTTATTCTCTGTGCTATCTGGCTTTTTATTCTGTGGGCTGGAAATACCAGCAGCTCTGGAGCCATTAGTTATGTCAAATGTTAGTCGTCATGCTGGCTGCCCACGAGCCTCTGAGACAGGTCATTTGTCCTAAGATCACAAGGGGATTTCATGTGGGATAAGTCAGAATGTGCAATAATTGGATCGTAGTTATTGCTCATAGTTTGTGCTGTGATATGATGAAAGAGTTTGACACCTCTGACATTATCCATGGGGACATGTTGACACAATTTCTCTCACCAGTCAATAAAAAGACAACTTAAGCTCAATAAAGGAATACATAAAGGCAATGTGGGATCTGAAAAACAAATGGATTCATTCCAATCATCTGTCTCCTTGTCCCTGACGTACAAACAGTGCAGAAATATTGACGCCTTTTTTGTCAAATGCTTCAACACTAAAATGATGTAATAACTTCTATGTCAGTGAGCTAGGAGGAATTAAAATGGGTTTGAATTTAAAATATATTGCTTTATTTGAATAACACTCCATATAATAGTTGCAATAAAATAATAACGCCTAAAAAGGAATTGACCTATCGTGACTAGTAATGTTTTAGATTTGATAATTGAATCTAAGACATAATTGTACTGCATTACCGAAATAAACAACATCAATAATTTTCTGTAATGTCAGCAATACATATTACCAAGTGTCCAATATGTAAAGCAAACCTGAGAAATGAAACTAAAACCAGCAGCAGATAAACTGCTACTGTTGTAAAATATAAAAATGTTCACTCGAAATAATGTTACATTATTTGTCATGATAATTCCCATACAATAATTATCAAGCTGAGTGTGGCACCACAAGGACTGGCCTTGTCTTTTTGATTTATTTGTATAAGGGTTGACTCTAGAGCTGAGGGAAGACACACAACAGGAGATAAGGGTGTCACTCTCTCCATGGAGAGAAGTAAGATAAGATAATGGATCAATACAGCGGATACACACCAGTGTCACAGCTCAACAAGGTCATCATGTCCTTCTTCCATTTCACTTTAGTGGATCCCTTTGATTGGCACCAGACCTGGACGATGTGCTTCCACAAAGAACGTATAGAGGACAAGGGCTCTCCTTTAAATAAACAAGCAACACTGTAAAATTGACACAGAGCTAAATACATGATTAGATGTTTAGATGTCTCTCTGCTCAGTTAAACTGTTTCACTGCGTAAAGTTGGCCTTAGGGATGAGCAGAGATGGGCAACACTGTATCATGTTGGCAAGCGAACAGCTGCGGTTGAAAAATTCAGGAGGATTCATCGTTAAGTACCAGATCTTCCTGCAGTCGCTAAAGCCATCCCAGAATACAATTCACTCTGCGATGGCCATCTGTGGAGAATCATCTGTAGATAAAGGAGATTAGCCAGGCTCTAAAGCACATCAGCCACTCAGGTATATCATTGTATCACTCCTCTGTGTGCCACAGATGCATGAGAGCTCAGACACTTGTTTCCATTTGCATTCACCATCGTATCTTGACCAAACACCAGCCCTGCTGTCACAAGTTGCCTCTATGAAACGACTGGAAAAGGAGTAACTGTGGGCTGAACAGATTTTGTGAGGGTGTTGCACACTTCCGTAGAAGCCAGCACAAATTCAGGATCACAATACAAATCTGTTTTATTTCCTGAGAGCTGGATATACTCAGTTTTCAATTTCTGGTTAATATTTTGAAACAGCATCTTTGCAAATCTGAGCATTCATGTTGATTCATTATCAATACTCCGCCTGTGTCTCCTCTTGGTTTTTTTCTTCACACACCCACACACATGTTGTAACCGCTCAAATATCAAAGAGTCAAAGTATAGCCTTGTGGGATGCTGTTTTTCATTTTTACCCATGATGCAGGGACACACACACATTCAGATAATCATTCAAACCATTTTTTTGGTACAAGTTCTAAAAGCTTTATTGTCCAAAATCCATCCCTTGTCCTCTCTATGGTACAGCACTGTAAGGTTGGTTTTTTCTTTTCAATCCATCCATGCGTACAGTGTTTCCTGCTCCCTAGAGCTATTGAGGGATACCCTGAATGGATGGTCATGTTAACGTTTGCTCAAC